ATAATTAAAATGATATATATTATATATAACGATATTACTATGTCATTGTAATTTCACCCAAGGGTAGAACTACCCCTTACAGAAGCCAAGTTAATTTATAAAAACATTAGTAAGTTAAGGAAGGAAAGAATATCCGGGACTGCCCAGGTCTCACATCTCTTTTTACTTTCTGCGATGGCTTTTCAAAGTGCTACAAATGAATCCAGAGGTACTCATCGAATTGAAAAAATGTTATTTATAAAGTCTTTTTTTAATCCATTTAATGCTGGTTAAGACTGCCTCTCCCCATAAAGTCTGCTAACACATCCGCTGATTTGATATGTCAACCCTCTTATGAAGCGCTGTCATAAAGTAATGATAATGTCTCTCTTCTTTCCTTTGTAGTGGAACATCCTGACAAAATGGCTAATGACCAAGGTACGGTGGCCCCATTCTGTCAAGCTTTCCTTAGAAAATCAATGCCGTGTTCTGTGTGTGTGGCAGTGATGTGAGTCCTTGCGACACCCGTCCGTTTTTTTTTTTTCACCTGGTCCGCACACCTGATTAGGCAGACGCCAACGCGCTAATTAATCTCGTTAATGATGTTCGGCTTGGAGGAGGCAGCCGAGGCTTTGATGGGAGAGATGTAAATATTCTTGAGAGGAAATTGTTTTGTCTCTTTTCTGGAGGGCCAATTAAAATGTCAAGCTTCTTTGTATGAAATAAATTTTTGCCTCTCTCCCCGTGCTTCTGAATAATTCACATTAAGCATAATTAAGCTGCGCATAATTCCTAGGCGTCCGGGGCTCGCTTCCATTGGCTGAGGAGTGTATTTACTGATTTTTGTATTTCGAGTCGTTAGTAAATTATTCTGCTCTGCCAGACGGGGTTTGGCTTTATATTTCACTTGCTTTCTTCTGTGGAGAATTTGTATTATTTCGCAGTCTATGTATGGGCCATTTTGATGGTGGTTTGAAATGTTTTACCAAAATTGCCTGTCTCTTTTGTAGCTTTAAGTAGGAAAACCAGACAAATAGAAAAAAAAGTCACCTGTTATGAATTTGTGAAAAAAAAAAACATTTAAAGTGAAACTAAATAAACTAAAAAAAAGTAAAAAAAAGATAAATAAGCAAGTGGCAAGTGTAGGTTTCCAAAGGAATAAAAGAGTATTTTTGATTGACTGTTTGGTGCAGCTCTGTGCATCGGGCTCCAGCTAAGTTGCACATCTTCCATGCCCATGCTCGGCACTGCCCAGCCTCCATTAGGGACTACATGTCCCATGATTCAGTGCAAGCTAACACGGCGCATTTCTTGGCAACAGTTAAGAAAGGGGGAGGAAGTGGAGGTAGTGCATATGTTGGTCCTCGCTCTAACAGTGGGGGACATATGTTGATAAAAGATTAGGCGGTATAGTGGGAGGAGAAACCAGCAGGGCACAATGGGCAGTATGTCCTTTCTGTAGCTCTGCTCAGGAGTGACCGATTCGGTGTCTACTCTAGAAATTATATGGAGGCAGGAAGAGAAAAAAGTAGCCACCAGGAAACAGGAAGTACTGCATCTCAGTTTTTGTTTTTTTTATATATATATATATAAAATTCAAGAGCC